TGAAAGACATGCTCTTGTGAGCTCCCGTCTGTGTTGGACTAGGGGACATTGGCACCCCCTGCCTGCTCTGTATTGGGGTGAAAGATGTCTCCCCAGAACCTCCTCAGATCTGTGTCAAGGTTGGAGAGGTGTCTCCAGAACCCTCACTTGCTCTGTATTGGGGTGAAGGAGGTACCGCCCAGAGTGCACATCTGTGTTGGCATGTGTTGCACTTCTCTGACCTGCAGGAAGGTGTGGAACGACAGAATGAACTATTCAAGACTTCAGTCGGTTGCGAGGCAGGGGAGGGGAACTCACAGTTGAGTGCTCCCTCGGTGACTTGTAGTCCTTGTATTTTTTATCTGAGAAGTTTTACAGGATGAAAAACATGTTTGATTCGTGTCACAAGAAAAGGTGTTACTTATGGTTTATTTTGTTTGCTGATCCTTCCTGGTTACAAGATGAGATCCACATCAGAAGATTCGAGATAGCAAGAGAATGTTTTCTGAGATACACACCCACAGATGAGGCAGAATACTGCCATTGTTTGAGGAACCTAGATAGATCCTTGTTCTGTTGAACAATTGCACGTTCACTTAGGGACGTCTTCCTTGTTCTCCACACTGTGCACTTAATAGAATTTTCTCTTTAACAGCATTTTCTCTGCTTATGTTCTCTTGACCCAAGCAACCCAAGATCTAGTTAGCTTAACTGCTGCAAGTGTGGAGGACACCCCCACAGCCCACCCACAGGAGTCCAGGAACTCGGGGCTCACCTCTGGCGCTGGGATTGAGCCCTCCCTGCCTGGCCGTCCTGCCATGTGTCCATGTCCTGTGAAGTGCCCGGATGGATGACCTCAGAGAACAGCTCTTACGGCTGCAGGGGTGTCTCTGTGCTCCGGGCAGGGTTGGGATGTTTCTCCTGCATCCTCTGACCTGGGCAGGGGGCGTTGCAGACACGTTTCAGTCATTGTTGTAGTTGTTGGTGTCCGTGCTGTTCTGAGTAGGGGGCACACCTGGGGGGGGGTCCACCCTGTGCAGGAGAGGAGGGAGGATGACACACAGATGAGAGGGGTTCAGGCAGGAGGGGGTCACACGTGGCGGGGGGAGTGAGGTGAGAGGAGCACTGGCTGGAGGAGAACCCATGACGGGGAGACCCCTGGGGGGCGACTCAGGAACTGGAGTGGCTTGCAGCAGACGCCGCCGGGGTGGCCCGCTGGGGCGTGCAGACCCTGATCAGGGAGGCAGGTACTGGCGGATCCCCCAGTGGCACTGCAGCCAGCAGGGGGCCGAGGAGGCGCTGGCCACGTGAGGTGCTGGCCACGTAGAGCCCTCGGGCCCTGGGTACCACTGCCCGATGTCCATCTCTGCCTGTGGAGGAAGCCACCTGTTGTTCTTTGGATGCAGGTACGGGGTCTCCGCAGGTTCTTGGCAGACTTCCTGAGAGTGACAGCATCTCCTCGGGAGGAACCTGCCCTCCATGCCTTTGGGGCACCATGTGGGTTGTGTCCGGGACTGTGTATCGTGGCCTGTCCAGCCTAGTTTGTGAGTGGGCTCAGGCAAGGATGATCAGTGTTCGGGTGCAGACGTGTGCTCCAGTGAGGATAATCTGTGCTCAGGTGAGGGCTATCTGTACAGGTCTGTTTTCAGGTGAAGGTGGTCTGTGCCGTGTACAGGTGTGTGCTCAGGTGAGGGAGATCTGTCTGCTGGTCTGTTTTCAGGTGAAGGTGGTCTGTGCCATGTACAGGTGTGTAGTTAAGTAAGGGTGATCTTTCTATACAGGTCTGTGTTCAGGTGAAGGTGGTCTGTGCTGTGTACAGGTGTGTGCTCAGGTGAGGGAGATCTGTCTTGTGTACAGGTCTGTTCAGGTGAAGGTGGTCTGCTGTGTACAGGTGTGTGTCCAGGTGAGGGTGATGTGTGTAGAGGTCTGTTTTCAGGAGAGGGTGGTCTATGCCTGTGTACAGGTCTGTTTTCAAGTGTAGGTGGTCTGTGCCGTGTACAGGTGTGTGCTCAGGTGAGGGTGCTCCATGCTCAGGTACAGGTGTGTGCTCAGGTGATGGAGATCTGTCTGTATGCAGGCCTGTGTTCTTGTGAAGGTGGTCTGTGCCATGTACAGGTGTGTGCTCAGGTGAGGGTGATCTGTCTGTGTACAGGTCTGTGTTCAGGTGAAGAGAGTCTGTACTGTGTACAGGTGTGTGCTCAGGTGAGGGTGATCTGTGTAGAGGTCTGTTTTCAGGTGAAGGTGCTCTGTGCCTGTGTACAGCAGAGGACTTCCCACTCCTTCTGTTCTGTTACTTTTTCCATTTGCAGGTGCTTGGGGCCGTGTGGGATGGGGATGGAACGTGCGTATCCTGTAAGATTTTAGCAGCCAAGGTGGTTGGTCAGAGCTGATGGTGAGGGCCGTCCTCAGCCGCCAGGTGTCCGGCCCCGTGAGGACCAGCGTCTGCATCCTTGCACAGCTGGGGATAAGAAGTGCTCAGAGCCTGGGGGGGACAGTCCTGTTGCTGGGTGGTCTCTGCTCCCTCTCTCCCAGTCCACCTGACCCCACCACCCTCCTGGCTGGCTCGATCCTTACAGGGCAGGAGTCCTCGTGTGGCTAGGTGTGTGGTGTGTAATCTAGTGTCTGAGCTGGTGTGTGCCTCGTGTGTGCACGGCGTCATCTCATCTGATCACGTGCGCGTCCACGGGGTGGGTTGAGGGTCGGGACCCACAGAAAGGTGACTGCTCTGAGGTGGACTCACTTTGAGCTCCAGCCTCAGTTTCAGACCCCAGTGTCCGCCCCACGGTGCTCTGGTCTATGCTGGGTCAGAGATGTGGTCACACAGGCCTTCCAGCCACTTTCACGTCTGTGGGTTCCCTTGTGTGCACTGACAACGCGGGACCCCAGGACAAGCTCACATCTGAGGACACATCTGTGTGCACTGACTCTGCAGGACCCCAGACCACGCTCACATTTGGGGGTTCACCTGTGTGCAGACCACGCTCACATCTGGGGGTTCACCTGTGTGCACTGACCACACTGGACCCAGACCACGCTCACATCTGGGGGTTCACACATATACACTGACCACAGGACCCCAGACCACGCTCACATTTGGGGGTTCACCTGTGTGCAGACCACGCTGGACCC